GTGCAGGCTGACTGTCCAGGGAACAGGTGGCCCTGCTTTCAATTACAGGGGCGAGCATGCCAGTGTGAGGCCTGGATTAGCTCACCTTCTCACGGGGAATTTTCCTCGGCTGGGAATGGATTTATTACGGCTTCACACATGGAATAGAGCTCATGTCAGCTGAGGGCAGTGACACATCATACGATTTAAATTAACCCGCTGTGGACTGTTGCGAGGGGCTTAGATTGTGTATTAAAATGACGACATTTTAAAAACAGGTTGAAAGAAACCAGGATAGCTGAACTGCAATGGTTCCAATTTGTTCCAACTAATCTCTCACCTGGTGGAAATAGTGTTCCAGGGTCTGTGGTAGCTGCCGCTTTGTGGGTTTCTCCAAGCCACTGACCTTGCTAATGGGCACTGCTTGCCTCTGAGGAAGGAGGCGGGTGGGGCCTGGAGGGCTTCAGAGGAGCTTGTGATGTGGGGGTTAGGGCTGTCAGCTGCCTCAGGTGAACACCCGCTCCCCAGCACACACTAAAGAAATACTCAACAACTCAGGGTCATTTCTACCAGTTTACACCCCAAAGGACAGGGTCGGTGCCACCTTGTTGAGAGAGACTGAGCCTCAAAATGGATCTCAAAGGATAAATCCGGGCGCAGTGACGTTCATGTCCTTTGAGGGAACTTGAAGGGTAGGCACTTACAGTGTTCCCTCTACATTTCAGGACCCCGACTTTTATCGCTACTGTACCCAACCTAGAGGACAAACAAAAAGGAAACAAAAACACAGTCGAGAGATGTGGCAGGAAGACATTCTTTGATAATGACTGATGAGTGCACAGATTCTAAAAACTAACAACAAAAAGATTTTAATGCCAGCAGTGATTTGTCAATAAAATTAGAAGTATTGTTTGCTATACTTTGTGTCATCTGTCATGCTTCGCTCAGAGCGAAGAAGACGTTGTGAACAACATTGTGACCTGCAGTTGTTACCTAGGCCTAGCACAAACAATAGTCCTCTCAGAAGTCCATTACCTAACAACAGCAAAACAAACAAAAAACCCCATAATGTTTACTGAGTTGATAATATGTGCAACACAATATGTTTTTTAATGTGTGAAAAGAGTTTTTATGAGCCTTGTGCTTCCCTTTTAGTTAATCCTACATTTGCTACAGCTTTTGTGAAAAAACTCTAAAATCTAATGGGACGACCTGGCCAAACAGTAGGGGAAACAGAATAGCTCGTTAGATTCTACCTACAATGTGCTGGGACTGACACTGTTTTCTGCAAGGAAGATTTTGTCTCAGTAAGTTTTAAAGCAGTTCAGTTGTCAGGATAGTGTTTTAGAAGGCATGTCACAGAGCTGACATACTATTCCCAGCAATATTCCCTTGATACAAAATAAACACATTAATAAATGTAGTTTTGATAAAACTGCCTTAGGGCTTAGAGAATGTAAACTACGCTCAATACGATAAGCATTGTAACGCCTGCTCACACAGGCACACAAGTAAAAATGTAAAACAAAACATAACAAAAACCACTTTGCGACGAACAGTACAATGTGTAGATCAGTGGCATCCACTTCACACTGAGTGTAGCAGAAACAGATTTTGGCAACACATCCACTAAAGCACCATTTGCAAAGGTGCATCAGGAACAAATTCAAACAAGAAATATAGTTAGAGAGTAATTACATCAATTATTAAAAGTTTGGCGGGGTGGTGGTGGCCCACGCCTTTAATCCTAGCACTCGGGAGGCAAAGGCAGGTGGATCTCTGTGAGTTCGAGGACAGACTGATCTATAGAGTGAGTTCTAGGACAGTCAGAGCTGTTACACAAAGAAACCCTATCTCCAAAAAACCAAAAAATTTTTTTTCAAATACATTATCATTATTATTTTATTTATAAAATGAGAAATGATAACCATTTCCCAATTTTGAAAGTACCTTAGGAAAAACAATTACAAATGCTTTAAAACCATTCACTATGTTTAGGTTTTTACTATGTTGTCATATCAAATATTAGAATTATGAACATGTAACTATGAGTTCATACACTGGCATTTCTCTTCAAATAAATGTATCTGGTTATCTTGCAAATATGGTGCTCAATCTACCATTGACTCAAAGATCCCATCTGTCAAATCAAATCAATAATTTGAATTGTAAGATAACTTTCTATCCAACCTGAAAGACTGCCTTGTTTTGGGGTATTTGTACACTGTGTGAAGATATATTTTCTGTGACTGGTGTAATAAAGAGCTGAACGGCCAATAGACAGGCAGGAGGCATAGGCAGGGTTTCCAGGGAGGGAAAGGGAGAGGAGGAACTAGGGGGGGAGGGGAACCCCAGAGACGAGACACAGACAGGAAACGGGAGGTACAAGATGAAAGAAAGGTAATGCCATGTGGTAGATTAATAAAACTATGGGTTAATTTAAGCTATAGGAGCTAGCTGGGCAAGTCTAAGCTAAGGCCGAGCTTTCATAATTAATAATAAGTCTCCATGTCGTTATTTGGGAGCTGGCGGGTGGGAAAGTCAACTTTTAGTTCCACTGCCTAAAAGGAAACCTGAGCCTAAATGAAATGTAAGAAGTAAGCCCAAATTATGTTTCTCCTCCAGCAGCTCCACTCTGTTCTATCAGGTCAGTTTCCAGGCTATGCTGTAGTCTTACAGGAGACCAGCCCTGCAGCTGGGATACACTGTAGTCTTATAGGAGACCAGGCCTGCAGCCAGGATATGCTGCAGTCTTATAGGAGACCAGCCCCGCAGCCGGGATACACTGTAGTCTTATAGGATACCAGCCCCGCAGCTGGGATACACTGTAGTCTTACAGGAGACCAGTCCTGCTGCAGTCTTATAGGATACCAGCCCCGCAGCTGGGATACACTGTAGTCTTACAGGAGACCAGTCCCGCAGCCAGGATACGCTGTAGTCTTATAGGAGACCAGCCCCGCAGCCAGGATACGCTGTAGTCTTACAGGAGACTAGCCCTGCAGCCAGGATACGCTGGAGCTGATGTAGGAGGTTCAATGTCTCTTTTGCCTTAGTGGGACATAAATTGCTATTTCCCCCTACAATTGGCTGTGTTTGGATTCAGTAATATCCAATATTCCTTGTTCACTAGCAATTAGGATCCACACTGCTCCAGCCCATCTGCTATCTCACCCCTTTGCTGTTATTTTCTAAGATCACATTTGTATATTACTATGAATAGAATCAGTTCTTCTCACTAACACTGAAAACACAAGCTGTAGAACCAGGGCAGTGAAGACCAGCACAGGCAGTCACAGGTCTACTCAGTCCAGGCATCAGGACGTGCCCCCACCCCACCCCCCATTGGATTTCTCTGTGTAGCCCTGACTGTCCTGGAACTCCCTCTATAGACCAGGCTAGCCTTGAACTCAGAGATCTGTCTCCTAAATGCTTGGGTGAGCGTTACCCTGGCCTTCTTCTCTAGCCACGATTATGCAGAAATGACTGGCAGGCCACAGCATACACATTCGGCATGGTCCACACAGGGAGAGCATCTCTCTTCAAAACTGCAGCCTTTTAGCTGTTACTGGAGATTCTGGGACTGTCTAATGTCCCTGTTTTAAATTTCTCATGACAAAATCAATATTCCTTTGAAAACTAATACATTATGAAGCCATTTAAATATAACAGACATGAAACCAAATACAGTCAGCTCTAGTAAGCAAATAGTGAAGATCCCACCAGGAGGTGAGAACAGGACAGGGAGAATGGATCCCACCAGGAGGTGAGAACAGGATGGAGAGAATGAATCCCACCAGGAGGTGAGAACAGGATGGGGAGAATGATCCCACCAGGAGGTGAGAACAGGATGGGGAGAATGGATCCCACCAAGGAGGTAAGAACAGGATGGAGAGAATGAATCCCACCAAGGAGGTGAGAACAGATGGAGAGAATGAATCCCACCAAGGAGGTGAGAACAGATGGAGAGAATGAATCCCACTAAGGAGGTGAGAACAGATGGAGAGAATGAATCCCACCAAGGAGGTGAGAACAGATGGAGAGAATGAATCCCACCAAGGAGGTGAGAACAGATGGAGAGAATGGATCCCACCAAGGAGGTGAGAACAGATGGAGAGAATAAAACCCACCAAGGAGGTGAGAACAGGATGGGGAGAATGGATCCCACCAAGGAGGTGAGAACAGGACAGGGAGAATGGATCCCACCAAGGAGGTGAGAACAGGATGGAGAAAATGGATCCCACCAGGAGGTGAGAACAGGACGGGGAGAATGGATCCCACCAAGGAGGTGAGAACAGGATGGAGAAAATGGATCCCACCAGGAGGTGAGAACAGGAGAGGGAAGATGAGGGTAAAAGGAAGTCTGTGTGAGGAGACGACAGAGAAGGGAGCTCTGACCTAGCCATGCTCCTCAGCATCCAAATGAAGAGCAACTCCTCAGAGTTGCAGAAACTTGCTGTGTGAACAGCTCACCTATCCTCGCGACTTCAGCCCATTTTCTTCATGCTTGGGTCTTGGCCTCCTTATCCAGAGGACAAGGAGAGTAGCAGCAGCCGCACCTTGGCTCTTCACAAGCATGTGCAGTTTTAATATTAAGTATCTATCTAAACCAAGTGCTCGCTGTATCTGAAACCCTTCTTTATGCATCTGAAATAAGTGTAATCGTCTATGCGTGTTCCCGTATTATTTTCTTCATATGCAGTTAAGGAAACTGAAGAACAAAAATCACATCAACTCCTCTAGGAGCACATTAAGAGAGAAAGCAACAGTAACATACAAGGCTTCAGCTTCCAGGCAACTATGCCTTGCTGGGTAGGAACCTCCTGTCAGCAAGGGCACAGCTACTCATGCAAATTCAGAGTTG